TACAATTTCAATTGCACTTAAAACAGAAAACTATTAAATTGTTTAACAACAACAACAACAATTCAACATTAAATTCAGGGTCAATTAATTAATTAAAGTGTTGGATTTCAAGAAATCTATAGGTGGTGTTTATTTGTTGTTGATTTTCTGTTTTCAGTATTTTTTATGCAATTTGCATAAAAGAGCGCATTTGTGTTTTTTATTTATGATCTATTTTTAAACATAAAATTTAAAACAAACCTGGCGTTGTCTTAAACAATTTGTTCCAAATAGTTGCATTACAAGAAGTTGTTATTTGTTTTTGTAAAATGTTTTACAATTAAAAGATTATATTGCTAATGTTTTAATGAGTTTTAACTTTAAAATGTAGACTATAAAATGAACGATATTTTATTGGATGAATAAAGATACAATGAGAAATGTGATGTAATAATGAGAATCCATTTTGGTATACACTCTGGACTATAGAGCTATGATCAATCTATAGTCAGAACTGTAGATCAGTCTGTAGTCAGAAATATAGATCAGTCTATAGTCAGAACTATAGATTAGTCTATAGTCAGAACTATAGATCAGTCTAGAGTCTGAATATAGATTAGTCTATAGTCTAGACTATAGGTCAGTCTATAGTCAGCACCTTAGATAATATAGTCAGGACTATAGATCAGTCTATAGTCAGGAGTACAGATCAGTCTATAGTCTGAATTATAGATCAGTCTATAGTATGGATATAGATTAGTCTATAGATCAGTATATAGGCAACACCATAAATAAGATGGTCAGGATTATTGATTAGACTATTGTCAGGACTATAGATCAGTCTATAGTCTGGACTATAGATCAGTCTATAGTCTGGACTATAGATCAGTCTATAGTCTGGACTATAGATCAGTCTATAGTCTGGACTATAGATCTGTGTATAGTCTGGACTATAGATCAGAGCATTGTCTGGACTATAGATCAGATTATTGTCTGGACTATATTTCCGTCTAAAGTCTGCACTATAGATCAGTCTAAAGTCTGGACTATAGATCAGTCTATAGTCTGGAATATAGATCAGTCTATAGTCTGAACTATAGATCAGTCTAAAGTCTAGACTATAGATCAGTCTATAGTCTGGAATATAGATCAGTCTATAGTCTGAACTATAGATCAGTCTATAGTCTGAACTATAGATCAGTCTATAGTCAGAATTATAGATCAGTCTATAGTCTGGATATAGATCAGTCTATAGTCTAGACTATAAGTCAGATAAGATAATAATAACCTTAGATAAGATAGTCAGGACTATAGATCAGTCTATAGTCAGGATTATTGATCAGTATATAGTCAGAACTATAGATCAGTCTATAGTCTGGGCTATAGATCAGTCTATAGTCAGCACTATAGATCAGTCTATAGTCAGAACCATAAATCAGTCTATAGTCTGGACTATAGATCAGTCTATAGTCAGCACTATAGATCAGTCTATAGTCAGAACTATAGATCAGTCTGTAGTCAGATCTATAGATCAGTCTATAGTCTGATATATAGATCAGTCTATAGTTTGGATATAGATCACTCTGTAGCCTGGACTATAGATTAGTTTATAGTCAGGACTATAGATCAATCTATAGTCTGGATAAAGATCAGTCTGTAGTCTGGACTATAGATTAGTTTAGTCAGAACTCTAGATCAGTATTTAATTATAGGTATTAATCTATAGTCTAGACTAAAGACTAAAGGCGTCAATGATCTTAGTTACGAAATAGTCTATAATGTATTAAAATCATTTGAAAGTCTAATTTAGCAAGGACTTTTTAGCTCAAGCTATAAGTTTATTTTAAGACTTAAATAGTAAGTTTAAAACCTCTCAAAATCCATTGCAAAATTAACACTACAAATTTGTATACTACGTTTTTAAATCTGTGAAGTGTCCATAAAAAACTAAAATTATCTTTTGTAATATAGTTTTCTAAGAAAACTTTAAACCAATTCGATTTCAATATTTTTTCAAACTCTATCTGCAATTGCAATTAAATCAAAAGACTAAGGACACACAATTTATAACTGTAAACTGCGTGTGTTAGGAAACCTATAATCAAGCTTAAAGAAATTTAAATTTATCAAATCATGGTTAAAAAATTATCAGTTGAAAAAATCTTTAGTAATTAATTAACATTTCAAAAAGTTTACTTTTTTAGTCTCCCAGTAACACCCTATATTGAACATATTTTTCGTTACCTTTCATTTTAGTTTTTTATAGTCAAATAAATAAATAGAAAAAGAAAATTTAGTTAACTTTTTTGCTTAAATGTTTATGGTCATTTATAACACCCCATAGAGTTTTTTTCTTTTTTTTCCAGTCGGTTGACAAATAACAAGTTAAAATTGGTAACAGTTAATAGAGTTAAAAGTGTAAAAAAGCTGATGGAAAATTTAAAGAAAAAAGCAATGGCGGCAACTGTATTATAAATTAAGCAATATTTTCCGCATTTTTGATAGCATGCTGAGGTTTTAGTGGCAGGAGTTTTTCGATTTCTTTATTTTTTCATTTGAAGGTTTACAAATTTATGTTCATAAATTGTTAAATTTAGCTGGTGTTGAAGGAGATTGTCATAAATGGAAATATTTTGTTAGAAAATGTAGAGCAGACTATAGACTGCTCTATTGTTAAGGCTATAGGTAACTCTACAGTCCATATGAGAGGCTACTTTATAATTTAGACTGTAGGTTACTCTGCGGACTATAGATCAGTCAATAGTCTGGATTATAGATCAGCGAATAGCCTGGTATGTAGATCACTCAATGGAGTATAGATGAGTATTTAGACTAGTCAATGGTCTGAACTAAAGATCAGTTTATAATTTGAACTATAGATTCAGATCAGATCAGATTTGAACCATAAAAAATACTATTGTCTGGGATATTAGATCAGTCTATAGTCTGGACTGTAGATCAGTCTATAGTCTGGACTATAGATCAGTCTATAGTCTGGACTGTAGATCAGTCTATATTCTGGACTATAGATCAGTCTATAGTCTGGACTGTAGATCAGTCTATATTCTGGACTATAGACTGATCTATAGTCCAGGCTATAGATCAGTATATATTCTGGACTATAGATCAGTCTATTATCTAGACTATAGATCAGTCTATATTTTGGACTATAGATCAGTGTATAGTCTGGACTATAGATCAGTGTATAGTCTGGACTATAGATCAGTGTATAGTATGGACTATAGATCAGTGTATAGTCTGGACTATAGATCAGACTATAGTCTGGACTATAGATCAGTCCATAGTCTGAACTATAGATCAGTCTATAGTCTGGACTATACATCAGTCCACAGTCTGAACTATAGATCAGTCTATAGTCTGGACTATAGATCAGTCTATAGTCTGGACTATAGATCAGTCTATAGTCTGGACTATAGATCAGTCTATAGTCTGGACTATAGATCAGTCTATAGTCTGGACTATAGATCAGTCTATAGATCAGTCTATAGTCTGGACTATAGATCAGTCTATAGTCTGGACTATAGATCAGTCTATAGTCTGGACTATAGATCAGTCTATAGTCTGGACTATAGATCAGTCTATAATCTGGACTATAGATCAGTCTATAGTCTGGACTATAGATCAGTCTATAGTCTGGACTATAGTTCAGACCATAGTTTGAACTATAGATCAGTGTATAGTCTGGACTATAGATCAGTCTATAGTCTGGACTATAGATCATACTATAGTCTGGATTATAGACCAGTCTATAGTATCGACTATTGATAAGTCTATAGTCTGGACTAAAGATCAGTCTATAGTCTGGATTACAGATCAGTCTATAGTCTGGACTATAGATCAGTCTATAGTCTGTACTATAGATCAGTCTGGATTATAGATCAGTCTATATTCTGGACTATAGATCAGTCTATAGTCTGGACTATAGATCAGTCAATAGTCTGGACTATATATCAGTCTATAGACTGGACTATAGATCAGTCTATAGTCTGGACTATAGATCAGTCTATAGCCTGGAATATAGATCAGTCTATAGTCTGAACTATAGATCAGTCTATAGTCTGGACTATAGATCAGTCTATAGTCTGGACTATACATCAGTCTATAGTCTGGACTATAGATCAGTCTATAGTCTGAACTATAGATCAGTCTATAGTCTGGACTATAGATCAGTCTATAGCCTGGAATATAGATCAGTCTATAGTCTGGACTATAGATCAGTGTATAATCTGGGCTGTAGATCAGTCTATAGTCTGACCTATAGAGTAGGTATAATATGAGATCAGTGTTGCCTACTTTAAGCAAATCCCCCAAAAAGTCATAAATCATGTTAAAAAAAAACTCAAAATTTTCAGATAACTGTCAAAAACGAAGAGATTTTCCTTGACTTCTACACATTTAATTAATTATTAAATAATAAAGCTTCCGTTTTTACTCTTCCCGCCAAACAATAGAAACGTTATTTAACGCCGCAAATAAGATAAAAAAACAAACAATAAAACTTCCTCCTGAAATCATGTTACAGTTTGCTTAATCATGTTTTATTCATAAAGGAAAAAAAGAAAAATCATAAATAATATTGCAGTCAGAAATATTTTTTCTTACAAAATTATTAATAATATTATGCCAACAAAAAAGGTCTTATACATAAAACCCCAAATGAATTTTTATTAATTAATAAATAAATAAAATTTGTTGCTTAACTGAATAAACAACAGGCCACCCAAAATAACCTTTTTTCTGAAGACTAGAGGACAAGTGAGTAAATTTTGAAAACTGCAAATTTTCAGAGCTTACAGTTTCGCCTTTCAGTTTAAACTAGTCATTAATTTTTATAATTTTTTTCTTAGGGTCCCCTGCTGTGTCTATAACTGTCATTTATATTTGCTAAAAATAATAACTTAATTTTATATTTTTTTTGTTTATTTAATATTTATAATAATTTATTTATATATTTTAATTAATTTATGCGTATGTATTTCATGTTTGCTTTTTTCTTGCAGGAGGGCAGTATTGGTCATGATATGGTGATAAAACCATTGCCTCATGACTTGTCACCTAATCAAAAGGAAACTTCACATCATGTGATATTTAAACGAGAAGTTGATACTTCAGAACATTTAAGTGATTTTGGTAAGTAGAGACAGAGAGAGAGAGAAAAAAATTATTGATCAGCATGTAGTCTTGACAATAGATCACTATATAGTCTTGACTATAGATCACTATATAGTCTTGATTATAGATTAGTCTATAGTCTTGACTATAGATTAGTCTATAGTCTTGACCATAGATTAGCCTATAGTCTTGATTATAGATTAGTCTATAGTCTTGACTATAGATTAGTCTATTGTCTGGACTTATAGATTAGTCTACAATCTTGACTATAGATTAGTCTATTGTCTTGACTATACTTTAGTCTATTGTCTGGACTATAGATAAGTCTATAGTCTTGACTATAGATTAGCCTATAGTCTTGACTATAGATTAGTCTATAGTCTTGACTATAGATTAGCCTATAGTCTTGACTATAGATTAGTCTATAGTCTTGACTATAGATTAGCCAATAGTCTTGACTATACATTAGTTTATAGTCTTGCCAATAGATTAGTCTATTGCCTTGACTATAGATTAGTCAATAGTTTTGACTATAAATTAGTATGTAGTCTTGATTATATTAGTCTAAAGTCTTGATTACTATATAGTCTTGATTATAGATTAGTCTATAGTCTTGACTATAGATTAGTCTATAGTCTTGCTATAGATTAGTCTATAGTCTTGGCTATAGATTAGTCTATAGTCTTGACTATAGATAAGTCTATAGTCTTAACTATAGATTAGCCTATAGTCTTGACTATAGATTAGTCTATAGTCTTGACTATGGATTAGTCTATAGTCTTGACTATACATGAGTCCATAGTCTTGACTATAGATTAGTCCATAGTCTTGACTATAGTTCAGTCTATAATCTTGACAATAGATCAGTCTATAATCTTGAGAATAGATCAGTCTATAGCCTTGACTATATATCAGTCTATAGTCTTGACAATAGATCACCTTATAGTGTTGACTACAGATCACTCTATAGTCTGGACTGTAGATCACTCTATAGTCTGGAATATAGATCACTCTATAGTCTGGACTATAGATCTCTATATTCTGGACTATAGATCACTCTATATTCTGGACTTTAGATCACTCTATAGTCTGGACTATAGATCACTCTATAGTCTGGACTATAGATCAGACTATAGTCTGGACTATAGATCAGACTATAGTATGGACTATAGATCAAACTATAGTCTGGACTATAGATCACTCTATAGTGTGGACTATAGATCACTCTATAGTGTGGACTATAGATCACTCTATAGTGTGGACTATAGAGCACTCTATAGTGTGGACTATAGATCACTCTATAGTCTGGACTATAGATCACTCTATAGTCTTGACTATAGATCACTCTATAGTGTGGACTATAGATTACTCTATAGTCTGGACTATAGATCAGTCTATAGTCTGGACTATAAAATAGATCACTCTATAGTCTTGACTATAGATCAGGCTATAGTCTGGACTATAGATCAGACTATAGTCTGGACTATAGATCAGACTATAGTCTGGACAATAGATCACTCTCTAGTCTGGACTATAGATCACTCTCTAGTCTGGACTATAGATCACTCTATAGTCTGGACTATAGATCACTCTATAGTCTGGACTATAGATCATTCTATAGTCTTGACTATAGATCAGTCTTTAGTCTTGACCATGATCATTCTACAGTCTTGACTATAGATCACTTTATTGTCTTGACAAAAGATCACTCCATAGACTTGACTATAGATCACTCTACAGTACAGATCACTCTATAGGTATTTCCTTTAAAATTTTGGATAAATCAAACGGAAATACCAGACATTTCCTTTACATTATACACACACTCAAACTTCTGGCAACCTCCAGTTTATATTGCGGTCAAAATTGTTGGTGACCAACAACAGGCGACAAGCGGACAATTAAAGTTAAAGTAAAAACATTAAAAATTCTATTGATTTTATTAAACTTCCAAAAAAATAAACCAAAAACCGGACAGTTAGTCTCCTGTGGTTTAATAAATTTAAGGCGTCTTCCTTAGCAAACTGCAGCGAAAATAAACGATATTAAATGAATTCTTAAAATATTTCCCCAAAAGCATTTAATTTAAAAATAATTAATTTATTGATTACATTAAAAACTTCAGTAGCACCTCATTAAAACTGTATATTTCCATTAAAAATGTCAATTAAATAAAAATTTTTAAATATAAATTTAATAAAATATAGGTTTTTTAAAACAGAGACAAGCCTTCCTTCACATAACAGAGATTTTGGTAAAAATTTTATAAAAATAAAATATTTTTTTCAGCAACAAGTTGATTGACCCTTTTTTTAACTGAAGGTTTTATTTGCATTTAAAATTATTATTTAAAAATTAATTTTTTTATAAAAAACTCTTTATTTAAAAACTTAACATTTATGGTTTTCTTAAGATTATTTTTATGTTTTTATTTAATAATCTAGACAGGAAATACTAAAAAAAAAAGTTTAGCTCGGCTTAGTCACGTAAATCTAAGGATTTTATACAGATTGATGGCATTTTAAGCAGAAATAAATATTTAAAAAAATAAAAATAAACCATAAAAAGTTATTAACATAAAGATTTATACAAAAGCTGTTATTAACAACTAAAGATGAAACCTTTACTTTTTTTAATTAGGGAGCAAAAAACCCATAAAAATCTGGATATAAAAAAAATTTACAAAAGTTTTGAAAACCTACTAAAAGCTGTAATAAATAGTTTAAAAAAATTAACATATTTATAACAATTTGTTTGTTGTAAATTAAATCTTAAAGAACTTTTTTGGTTTTTAAATAGGGCAACCGGACGCTTAAATAGACATTTTAATTATTTTGTTTATGACAGTTTAACCATTCAACCTCCTCTTCCTATTAGATCGTTTTGTAAAGATAATATTTATATTCTTTAAAAAGATTTATTTCATTAATTAATGCTTCTAAATATTTGCTTAGATCAGCAAATTTTGAAAAAAAGTTCCCAGCATATGTGTTGAGAATTATAATTTGCTTTTAATCAGCCCATAGGCTTTAATTTATGTAGTTTTTTAGTTAATTTTATTACACATTTAAATGGCTTTTTAAAAAACAAGGTTTTCAAAAGACGAATTGTAGGAAGCTAGTGATATGATAGAGATTAAGAAAATGTACCCAAAAACTAAAACAATTTGCTATAAAATTCAGTAAAAGTTTAGGCCACTCAGTAGTCTTTAGTCTGAACTATAGATCTGTCTATAGTCTTGACTATAGTCCAGTCTATACTCTCGGCTATAGATCAGTCTATAGTCTGGACTACAGAGCAGTATATAGTCTTAACTACAGACAATTCTAAATTCTTGACTATAGATATAACAGATCCGTCTAACAGTCTATAGTCTTGACTATAAATCAGTCTATAATCTTACCTATAGATCAGTCTATAGTCTTACCTATAGATCAGTCTTATTCTTGACTATAGATAAGACTATAGACTTTATTACAGATCCGTCCGAAGTCCTTTATTTAGATCAGTCTATAATACAGACCTGTCTATAGTCATGACTATAAATCAGTCTATAGTCTGTCTATACCTGTAGATCTGTCTATAGTCTTACCTATAGATCAGTCTTATTCTTGACTATAGATCAGTCTATAGTCTTAACTATATATTAGACTATAGTCTTTACCATAGATCAGTCTATAAACTTTACTACAGATCCGTCTAAAGTCTTGTATTTAGATCAGACTTTAGCCTTCTCTATAGATCAGTCTAAAGTCTTGATCAGTATATAATCTTTACTACAGAAACGTTTAAAGTCTTGGTTATAGATCACTCTATTGTCTTGCCTACAGATCAGTCTATAGTCTTAACTACAAATATATCAGTCTATAGTATTTACTATAGATCAGCCTGAAGTCTTGAATATAAAACGGACCATTCTATGGTCTTTAGTACAAATCAGTCCAAAGTCTTGAATATAGACCAGTATTAACTACAGATAAATCAGTCAATAGTCTTGACTAAAGATCGGTCTATAGTCTAGACTATAGATCAGTCTATAGTCCTGACTATAGATCAGTCTATAGTCTTGACTATAGATCAGTCTATAGTCTTGACTATAGATCAGTCTATAGTCTTGACTATAGTCTTGAATATAGATCAGTCTATAGTCTTGACTATAGGCCAGTCTGTAGTCTTGACTATAGATCAGTCTATAGTCTTGACAATAGATCAGTCTATATTCTCGACTATAGGTCAGTCTATAGTATTGACTATAGATCAGTCTATATTCTTGACTATAGATCAGTCTATAGTCTTGACTATAGATCAGTCTATAGTCTTGACTATAGATCAGTCTATAGTCTTGACTATAGATCAGTCTATAGTCTTTACTATAGATCAGTCTATAGTCTTGACTATAGATCAGTCTATAGTCTTTACTATAGATCAGTCTATAGTCTTGACTATAGAGTAGTCTATAGTCTAGACTATAGGTCAGTCTATAGTCAGTCTAGGTCAGTCTATAGTATTGACTATAGGTCAGTCTATAGTATTGACTATAGATAAGTCTATAGTCTCGACTATAGGTCAGTCTATAGTACTGACTATAGATCAGTCTATAGATCAGTCTATAGTCTTGACTATAGGTCAGTCTATAGTATTGTATATAGGTCAGTCTATAGTCTTGACTATAGATCAGTCTATAGTCTTGACTATAGATCAGTCTATAGTCTTGACTATAGATCAGTCTATAGTCTTAACTATAGATCAGTCTATAGTCTTGACTATAGATCAGTCTATAGTCTTGACTATAGATCAGTCTATAGTCATGACTATAGATCAGTCTATAGTCTTGACTATAGATCAGTCTATAGTCTTGACTATAGGTCAGTCTGTAGTCTTGACTATAGAAAGTCTTGGCTATCTATCACTCTACAGATCAGTCAGTACTATAGATCAGTCAATAGTCTTCACTAAATATCAATATATAATCTCAACTATTGCTGAGTCTATATTCTTGATCACAGATCAATCTCTAGTCTTGTCTAAAAATCTATAGTCTTGACTATAGATCAAGCTATATTCTTGACTATTTATCAATCTATAGTCTTTAGTGTAGATCAGTCTATAGTCTTGACTACAGATCATTCTCTATTCTTGACTATAGATTAGTCTATAGTCCAGACTATAGATCAGTCTATTGCCTTGACTATAGATCAGTCTATAATCTTGATCACTCTATAGCCTGACCTATAGATCAGACTATGGTCTTTACTAAATATCATTCTATAGATCACTTTTTTTATCATGACTGAAGATCACTCTCTGCACACTTTTTAAATATAAAACAATAAATCAAATATATTTTAGCATATTTTTTTTTTAATAATTTGCATTTACATTTACAAGCCGCTTTACACGCGTTAACATTTCATTAAACTTTTGAAAGAAAAAAATTTACATGCCAACATGCGTCAGCATTTTGACGCATTTCTCAAAAACGCCTGGAAACAAAAAGTCTGAATAAAAGATTTTTTTTTGCAAATGGGTCATAAATAAATGTTTACAAAAGAAAAGTTTTATATTAGTTTTTATTGTCCTCTTTAAGAAATTTTGCGCTGATTAATACGTCATTTGGGTTGAATTTTTAAATAGAAAGAAATTAACATAAATTAACATTTTGAAAAAAAAAAATGGTTGCTGTTAGAGAAACCAATCATAAGAATGGGGGTAATTTTGTAAAACTTTTACAAAATTCTATTAGCAAAAATTAAAGAGAAAATGAATGAAATTTATATAGAGGAGTTGCCAACCAAATGTAGTTCAAGTGGAGAGTTGCCAACTAAGTTTTGTTTAAAGAAAGTGTTGCCAACTTAAAAGTGCTTTAAATATTTAGTATTATTAATATAATTTTAAGATTTTATGGAATTATTAAAGAACTTCTTTTTCTTTTTTAACTTTCCAGCCTTCATGGAACCCGATGATGTTGCCACTAGTGAAAAATTAGAAAAATTACAAAATCGCCACAAAAGATCTGCTCATCGTACCACCCTGGAAGATATAGAACTAGAAGAGGAACAACTTGAAGCCGATGATGGTCTAGAGGAAAATGAATTTGCGGATCATAAACGGGCCAAGCGGCAAGCTCCCTATATAATATATCCAGAAATTTTAGTAATTGTAGACTATGATGGCTATCGTCTGCATGGTGGTGATAATTTGCAGGTAATTGTCCAAAAAAAAAGACACCAAATTTCAAACAAAAATTAAAACTTAAACTACAAATCAACTGCAATGCATGACATGATTGTTGATAGATTACCAGGCCGTTACCACGACAGACACTCCTATCTTTAAGAAAAAAATAGGTGTGATTTGAAATTTATATGATTCTTAAGACATTAAATAACAACTTGATTTATTTATTTGTAGAAAAATTCTTAATAATTTATTTTATAAAAATATTTTAAATTTGTCAAAAGCTTAACTCTTCTTTAAAAAGTGTGTTATTTTAATAAATGTTTTATTTTGTCAAATTTTTAATTAAATTTTAAAGAACGTGTTTATTTTAAATAATTTATTAACAACAATCTTCATGCCGCCTTTTTTATTTGAAAAGTTTTTTTTTAAGTTTCTAGATATTTAAAGTCTGACTAATTTATTCTTGTTAAATTTTAAGGTGAAACGTTATTTCATCTCTTTCTGGAATGGTGTTGATTTGAGATATCGTTTACTCAAAGGTCCTAGAATACGCATCAGTATAGCTGGCATTATTATATCAAGAGTGAGTATTTCAAACAATTTTCCTTTAATTATATGTAAGAAGTTATAAACAAGCTGGACTATGGACGAAACTATAAGGTCTGGACTATAGACCCAACTATAGCGTGGACTATAGACTACGCTATAATATAGACTGCGTACTACTCTACAGTCTGGAGTATAGAATGATCTATATTATAGATTTGACTATAGACTAGACTATAGACTAGAGTATAGGTTATAGTATAGACTATAGACTAGAATATACTCGGGACTATAGACTAGACTATACTCGGGACTATAGACTAGACAATACTCGGGACTATAGACTAGAATATACTCGGGACTATAGACTAGACTATAGTCGGGACTATAGACCAGAGTATAGTCAGGACTATAGTCTAGTCGGGACTATAGACTAGACTATAGTCGGGACTATAGACTAGACTATAGTCGGGACTATAGACTAGACTATAGTCGGGACTATAGACTAGACTATAGTCGGGACTATAGACTAGACTATAGTCGGGACTATAGTCGGGACTATAGTCGGGACTATAGACTGGACTAGACTATAGTCGGGACTATAGACTGGACTAGACTATAGTCGGGACTATAGACTAGACTATAGTCGGGACTATAGACTAGACTAGACTATAGTCGGAACTATAGACTAGACTATAGTCGGGACTATAGACTAGACTATAGTCGGGACTATAGACTAGACTATAGTCGGGACTATAGACTAGACTATAGTCGGGACTATAGACTAGACTATAGTCGGGACTATAGACTAGACTATTATCGGGACTATAGACTAGACTATAGTCGGGACTATAGACTATAGTCGGGACTATAGACTAGACTATAATCGGGACTATAGACTAGACTATAGTTGGAACTATAGACTAGACTATAGTTGGGACTATAGACTAGACTATAGCCGCGACTATGGACTAGACTATAGTCGGGACTATAGACTAGACCGTAGACTAGACTTTAGACGGGACTATAGTCGGGATTATAGATTAGACTATAGTTGGGACTATAGACTAAACTATAGAGTAGACTATAGTCGGGACTATAGACTAGACTATAGACTAAACTATAGTCGGGACTATAGACTAGCTATAGTCGGGACTATAGACTAGACTATAGTCTGGACTAGACTAGCAATAGTCGGGACTAGACTAGACTAGTCGGGACTATAGACTAGACTATAGTCGGGACTATAGACTAGACTATAGTCGGGACTATAGACTAGACTATAGTCGGGACTATAGACTAGACTATAGTCGGGACTATAGACTAGACTATAGTCGGGACTATAGACTAGACTATAGTCGGGACTATAGACTAGACTATAGTCGGGACTATAGACTAGACTATAGTCGGGACTATAGACTAGACTATAGTCGGGACTATAGACTAGACTATAGTCGGGACTATAGACTAGACTATAGTCGGGACTATAGACTAGACTATAGTCGGGACTATAGACTAGACTATAGTCGGGACTATAGACTAGACTATAGTCGGGACTATAGACTAGACTATAGTCGGGACTATAGACTAACCTATAGTCGGGACTATAGACTAGACTATAGTCGGGACTATAGACTAGACTATAGTCGGGACTATAGACTAGACTATCGTCGGAACTATAGACTAGACTATAGTCGGGACTATAGACTTAACTATAGAGTAGACTATAGTCGGGACTATAGACTAGACTATAGTCGGGACTATAGACTAAACCATAGAGTAGACTATAGTCGGGACTATAGACTAGACTATAGTCGGGACTATAGACTAGACTATAGAGTAGACTATAGTCGGGACTATAGACTAGACTTTAGTCGGGACTATAGACTAGACTATAGTCGGGACTATAGACTAGACTATAGTCGGGACTATAGACTAGACTATAGTCGGGACTATAGACTAGACTATAGTCGGGACTATAGACTAGACTATAGTCGGGACTATAGACTAGACTATAGTCGGGACTATAGTCGGGACTATAGACTAGACTATAGTCGGGACTATAGACTAGACTATAGTCGGGACTATAGACTAGACTATAGTCGGGACTATAGACTAGACTATAGTCGGGACTATAGACTAGACTATAGTCGGGACTATAGACTAGACTATAGTCGGGACTATAGACTAGACTATAGTCGGGACTATAGACTAGACTATAGTCGGGACTATAGACTATAGTCGGGACTATAGACTATAGTCGGGACTATAGACTAGACTATAGTCGGGACTATAGACTAGACTATAGTCGGGACTATAGACTAGACTAGACTATAGACTATAGACTAGACTAGACTATAGACTAGACTATAGTCGGGACTATAGACTAGACTATAGTCGGGACTATAGACTAGACTATAGTCGGGACTATAGACTAGACTATAGTCGGGACTATAGACTAGACTATAGTCGGAACTATAGACTAGACTATAGTCGGGACTATAGACTTACTATAGAGTAGACTATAGTCGGGACTATAGACTAGACTATAGTCGGGACTATAGACTAAACTATAGAGTAGACTATAGTCGGGACTATAGACTAGACTATAGTCGGGACTATAGACTAGACTATAGTCGGGACTATAGACTAAACTATAGAGTAGACTATAGTCGGGACTATAGACTAGACTATAGTCGGGACTATAGACTAGACTATAGTCGGGACTATAGACTAGACTATAGTCGGGACTATAGACTAGACTATAGTCGGGACTATAGATTAGACTATAGTCGGGACTATAGATTAGACTATAGTCGGGACTATAGACTAGACTATAGTCGGGACTAAAGATTAGACTATAGTCGGGACTATAGACTAGACTATAGTCGGGACTATAGACTAGACTATAGTCGGGACTATAGACTAGACTATAGTCGGGACTATAGACTAGACTATAGTCGGGACTATAGACTAGACTATAGTCGGGACTATAGACTACTAGTCGGACTATAGACTAGTCGGGACTATAGACTAGACTATAATTGGGACTATAGACTAGACTATAGTCGGGACTATAGACTAGACTATAGTCGGGACTATAGACTAGACTATAGTCGGGACTATAGACTAGACTATAATTGGGACTATAGACTAGACTATAATTGGGACTATAGACTAGACTATAATTGGGACTATAGACTAGACTATAGTTGGGACTATAGACAAGTCTAAACTATAGACTAAACAATAATCCGAACTCTACACCAGACTATAAACTGCGATATAGACTGGACTATACTTTGGACTTTAGTCTAGTGTGAGTGTTAGTCTTAATGTTATGGAATCTGGTGTGTAATCTGGTTTACAGTCTATCTATCATCTAGCATGGACTATAGTTTGAGCATTAGTATGGTCTGTAATCTAGTGTTTAGTCTATCTGCAGCCAGGTCAACAGTCTGTTCTATAGTCTGGAGTCTCTTTACTGATCAATAGTCTGGACTATATCCATGTAATAGAAATCCTTGAGCATTCAGATTTATCATATTTAAACCATATTTTCTTTAACTTGACTCAACCAAGTCCTCTTTTGCCAATTTATTGACCATGACTAAAGACCATAAAGCAAAAAATTCTTACTATTTTTTTGTAATATTCTTAAACTCAATAAAAAAAAAAACAACAACTTTATCCAAATAATACTTGGTCATCAAAAAAAAATAATAATATTAAAAAGCAGTAAACCATGAAAGTCATATAAGTCTCGTAAAAAAACAACAAAAATAACAATATTTATTGAAGGTCTTAGTGGGAAAATCAATGCAAACATAATTAAACTTTAAAATGGCATGACATAAGACACAAAAATATAATTTTCCAAACAGTAGATAGATAATCTAAAATAACTGGGTATAGCTACTAAAATAAGGTTTATTTTTAAAAGATAAGAAAACTTAAAATAAAATCATTAGGTCATTAGGTAAGCAATAAATTTAACAATAATTTCCTTAATTATAGAAAATATATAGTTTTATTTAAAGTTTTTTGCTTTGTTAGTTAGGTTTTACTTAGTATCTGATATTAGTTAAGATTATCATTCTTAAGAGTGTTGAAAAGCTAAAACTAGTTTTAGTTTTTATACTCTAATTTGTTAGCTTTAAGTGTTAATAAAACCATTAAGCAATAATTTTAATTGTTGCTATTTTTTTTTTTGCTTTGAAATTCTTGAAATGTTTCTATAAGGAGTTTTATGTTTGGAGATTGATTATGTTGGGTTTTTATTATAAATAAGTTGTTGAACATGTTTGTGTTAAAAAAACTAAATAATTAACATATTCAATTAATTTACGGTGGCAAATTTCTTTAAGTGTAGGAGAAAAAGAGAAGCTAGATCAGACAACAGCGGCGAATAGCTAAAAGTGTCGCCTGCCTGTAAGATTCTAGGAAAATTTGCAAAAAGTTTCTTAGAATTTAGTTAGTTTAGTTGTAGTTAAGTTAGTTAGTTAGTTAGTTAGTTCAGTTAGTTAGTTAGTTGTTAGTTAGTTAGTTAGTTAGTTAGTTAGTTGTAGTTAGTTAGTTAGTTAGTTAGTATTAGTTTAGTTGCGTTAGTTAGTCTAGTTCGTTAAGTTAGTTAGTTATTAGTTAGTTAAGTTAGTTCAGTTAGTTACTTAGTTAGTTAGTTAGTTAGTTAGTTGTTAGTTTAGTGTAGTTAGTAGTTAGTTAGTTCGTTAGTTCGTGTAGTTAGTTTAGATTAGTTAGTTTAGTTAGTTCGTTCGTTCGGTTCGTTCGTTCGTTCGTTCGTTCGTTCGTTCGATTCGTTCGTTCGTTCGTCGTTCGTTCGTTCGTTCGTTCGTTCGTTCGTTCGTTACGTTCGTTCGTTCGTTCGTTCGTTCGTGTTCGTTCGTCTTCGTTCGTTCAGTCGTTCGTTCGTTCGTTTCGTTCGTTCGTTCGTTCGTTCGTCGTTCGTTCGTTTAGTCGTTCGTTCGTTCGTTCGTTTCGTTCGTTCGTTTCGTTCGTTCGTTTCGGTTTTCGTTCGAT